TCAATCTTGGAGAACCAAGACGCTCCCTGCAACTGATCGAACAAATCGTCGATCCTCGGTAAGGGGTAACGGTTCTTGACCGTTAACTTGTTCAACTCCCGGTAATCAATGCACATCCGGTGTGAACCATCCTTTTTCTTGACAAAAAGGATCAGCGCTCCCCAAGGTGAGCTACTCGGTTTGATAAACCCCTTCCCCAACAACTCTTGAAGCTGTGAGGATAACTCCTGCATCTCTGGTGGCGCAAGGCGATAGGGCGCCTTGGCGATAGGTGCCGCTCCCGGAATCAAATCGATGCGAAACTCCACCTGCCTCTCGGGAGGCACACCCGACAACTCCTCGGGGAACACGTCCGGGAACTCACGCACTATCGGCACATCATAAACAGAACTAGGTCTCTCTGCTGCTACTCGTGTGTCCATCACATAGGCCACAAACCCACTACAGCCCTGCTGTAGACTCTGTCTCGCCCTCGCAGCCGAACATAATGCTGACTCTGAACGGGTACCCTCGCTGTACACCGTAAGAACGCCCCCACTAGGGTCTCGTATGGCCACCAGCTGTCGCTCGCAGTCGATAACCGCTCCAAACTTGCTCAACCAGTCCATGCCCACAATGACACAGACATCTCCCATCGCAATTGGAACCAAATCAATCGGAAACTCAACGCCGAAGATCTCGAGTACACATCCCCGGATCACATCAGTAGCATACACTGCTCGCTCGTCGGCTATAGAAACTCGTAGAGGTCGACTCAACGCCTCTCGCTGAACACTGATGTGCTAACTAAATGATAATGACACGAAAGATCGACTCGCACCCGAGTCGAATAATACTAACGCAGGTACAGAACTCACAAGAAAAGTACCTAAACATACCACAATATAAGCACAAAATGCCAACTCAAAATAGGTAAGTAAAAGAATACATACCGGCCACGACATCGGGCGCTGCGCGGACCTCCTCCGCCGTCAACTGGAAGGCTCTCCCGCGAGCCCTCGGTGCCTCGGCCTTCGCTGGCCGGGTCTCAGTAGCTCGAGCAGCAGGTGCAGATCCCTGCGCTGATCCCTGCAGTAGTTGTGGGCACTCGGCCTTCCGATGGCCGGTCTGGTTGCAATGAAAGCAAACCGAGAATCCCTTGGGGCAATCCCTTGCGTAATGCCCCTCCTTCCCACACTTGTAACATACCCCAGCTCTGCACACTCCCTCATGGCTCTTGCCGCACTTTCCGTAAGTGCGGCCCTTCGGACCCCCAGATCTCGAATCAGCGGGCTTTGCCCGCTTGGCTGCCGGCTGAGACTGTGCCGGCCGCCGATCCGTCCTCTGAGACTCGGCCTCCTCCCTGGCCTGAGTCTCCAACTCAATCTCCCACTTCCGGGCATTTGCCTGAAGCTCAACAAATGTCCGGTAAGTCGAGTTCGACACGAACTCCCGAATATCCCTCCTCAAAACGCCCAAGTACCGGCTCATACGTGCCTGCTCGGTAGACACCTGCTCAGGGCAGAACATCGCCCTCTCATGAAACTTCCTGGTAACCACAGTAACAGAATCAGTACCCTGCTTGAGGGTCAAGAACTCCTGAGCCAATCGCTCCCTCTCCACCGGGGGAACATACTCATCTCGAAACATCGTGGTGAACCTCTCCCAGGTCACCGCAGTCAGCTCTGCCATAGTGAAGTCTGCCGTCACAAACTTCCACCAGTCCTTCGCTCCCAAGCGAAGCTGGTTCAGCGCAAACCGAACCCTCAGATGCTCTGGACACGAGCAGGTATAGAAACAACCCTCAATATCGGTAATCCATCTCATAGCAGCAATCGGATCCTGCGTCCCATCAAACTCTGGTGGCTTCGTGTTGCTGAACTCTCTGTACAGCAACGAGTCACCCCCCTGCGGCCTGGCAGCAGCGACGGCTGCGGTGGCCGCAGCAACAGCTGCATCAGTAAGAGCGGCGTACCGCTCATCAAAAGTCTCGATCAACGTGGTCTTGATAGACCCGAACATCTCTGGTATCTCAGCTCGAATGGCCGCAGCCACCTCCTCATGAATCATCCTACGGATCTCCTCATCACTGGTACCACTGGTACCACTGCCTCCTGGGTGATGACGTGTCCCAACCATGATGTCTCTGAAATACAACACAAAAGGAATCAGAGACTCGCTCGAGTATACTCGCACTCGATACTCAACCCTACTTGTTCTTTAGTACCCTAAGGATTCTTACTTAGAGTGTGCACTGCTCCGTTGTCTTCAGTAGTACGGGCCCTATACTACCGTCCACACCGCATCAACACTCACTCTAAGTCCTCCTCCTTGGATCCCAGATCACAAGCACTCTATATCTCCCTGGCATAGGCTACCCTTCGGTAGACCCCTCATCAGCTCCTCACTGCTACCTACTCGCTCTCAACCATCACATAGCAGCAAAATCCTTCCTAGGCTAAGGCATCACAAAATCAGGCCACTCTAGTCCTAATATGAATACCTAGCCAACTCTAGCATTAATATCATATCATAACATATCTCATATCACATAATGTAAGGGCATTTTGGGAAATCACCGTTCGGGCGCTGGCTGATCGTACACACTGCTTCCTTCTGCCTTTCTCAAAACTTTACACTTTTAGAAAAATTGTTTATTTATGAAAAACTTTCTCATTTCCTCAGTTTGAGTTCAGATTCATCCAAAGATGCACCCGAATCCCTCAAACCAAGGCTCTGATACCAACTTGTAACGACGTAAAATTTTCAAAACAATTTTTCACTTTAAAAACATACTTTTATTTTCACGATAATCATAAAAACGTAATATATCCACTGTAACATAACAAACATGTCCCAAGATCTCATATACATAAATCCTCTCAGTGTGTACGGATCATGCCGGCGCCTTCCCGCGATCCTCGCTAGTACCTGAAACACATCACACAACAACTGTAAGCATAAATGCTTAGTGAGTTCCCCAAAATACCACATACAACACATACGCCACTCGAGGCTATAATACGACCCTTCGGTCGATGTGTCTCAGCGGGACCCCCCAGTCCCGTAGCTCGTCGGACCCTCTGGTCCAGTCATAGCTCGTTGGACCCTTCGGTCCGGTCTGTATCGTTGGACCCTTCGGTCCGGTCTATATCGTTGGACCCTCCGGTCCGGTCTATACAACACATAGCACACATATATCACAATGCACATAAACTCAAACATACACATAACACATAAGACCCTCCGGTCTGCACATAGATACCACTCTAGGTACTGTATAGTGAGAAGACTCACCTTGGGTATCTCGGATGATCTCGCACACGAATCTACTGATCTAGCCTCCGCCTAATCACATACACAATATCCTCAAATAAATAATGGCTCTCAAAGGCTAGATTAAATCCCCTTCTACGATCCCTCATAAGGGTAAAAGACCCTTTTACCCCTCCTTGACTCAAAAGTCCAACTGTTGACCGAAACCCTAAAAGTCAACGAAAGTCAACAGTCACAGTTTGACCCGACTCACCGAGTGCACTAGAGTGACTCGGCGAGTACACGCCTGCCCTCTTCGCCCCTGGTCCTCTCTTGACTCGCTGAGTCAACCCTATACTCCATGGGTCGTCACAGATCGCGATTCGCAGGGCAACTCGACTCAACTCGTCGAGTCCACTTATGGACTCGGCGAGTAGCCTCCATGTTCATACTCAAAAGACCTTCTGAGGTCAGATCTGTTCCTCTAATCCATAGATCTGACCTTCCCAAGCTAAATAAACACGTAAAGGTTCGAACTTGATACTCATGCAACCTCCAAATGACTCTACTTGAAGATTTAGCCCCAATTACAACATCCTAAGTCCATTTCTTCCATAACTCCTCATAAAGCAAGATGGAATACATTCTCTGGACCACTATGGATCCAGATCTGAAGTCTAACATGATAAGGGACCATATTCCCAACAAATCAACCTAATAAAGGGTATAGAAAACCCTAGATCCATGGATTCTTCAACAATACAGAAAGGAGATTGATATACTACCTCAAGGATGATGTTCTTTGCTTGAAATCCACAGATATGCAACCTCCTTGGCCTCCTCCAAGCTGGAATCCACTCCTTCTTGCAAAACCAACCCACAAGGATCAAGTAATGGCTTATTCTCTCTCACAAACGCTCAAGCACTATTAGGGTTTCTCTTAAGGGTCTGGTAGCCGCAAATGGTGGCTATAAGGGTCCTTAAATAGGTCCCAAACCCGAGAAACTAGGGTTTCATTAAACAGCGTGGACTCGCCGAGTCCACGTATGGACTCGCCGAGTCCGTCACTAAATCAGTCCAACCATGCGCGATCCTACTCGGCGAGTCTGATCGCCTACTCGCCGAGTCCCTCTCCAAAACTCAGTATAAATACTTAAAATGAGATACCTGGAAATCCGGATGTTACATGCATATTCCTTAGGACAAATCCTTAGGAATGAATATTAAAGAATACCTAGTGACAAGTATTATGGAGGAATCCCTGAACTAGTACTCTCAACATAGATTATCCTTAGGGTAGATCCTTAAGAATAAAAAAGATAATGGGGATGAGAAATTAGGTTACTTGTTTGATGATTAAACATATTAATTATATTATTGTGGGTTGAAAACCCTATGTACTCACCAGGTTTCCCAACCTGACCCACTCAGTTTATTGTATCACAAGTAGCGATATTAAAGATACATTCTGTTGAGAGATTCAATGAGTATTAGGCCATTAGTTTAGTCTATGTAAGACTTGTAATATTTCGTTATGGTTATGTTTCTGTATTGAAGATGACATCCCAATGTCTTAATATATATAAAAATACATTTATTCGGAAATGCTTTGATAATATCATTATCATATTATTTGGGAACAAATTTCGCAATATTATTCTTCAAAAAGATACTCTGATTTTTGAATAAGTATAAACAAATCGGTATTTTCTGGCCGTGAAATTGGGGATGTCACAACAGTCCACACCATAATTCAGTTAGTGAACATGATATGTAAAGCACCCTCGAGCACCCATCCAGAGAGAAAACGGGAGAAAGAGAAGGAAAAAAAGGATGCTACTCATCCAGTAGAACTATTCAAACTTAGTGACCATTCGATCTCGAACGTTGTATAGCCAAACACCCAAGCAATGAGCTCCTTCGATGCAGCACACCCTATAGCCTCATAGCCTTAAAGATTGAAAATGTAGTTTTTTTCTAAAATTTTCCCGAAAAACTAAGAATGCATTTGGTTGCAGAAATTTTTTTAGTTTTTAATGAAAATGAAAATTTTGAAAACATGTTTGTTGATTCAGTTTTCAAAATTTTCACAAAAAAAATAAAAATTTTATATTTTTCAAATTATATGTAAATTAAAAAAATAATTTTTATAGTTTTTCAAAGTTTTTTAAATTTCTAAAATAAAAAATAAAAAGTCGTTCCAACCAAATCAAAAGTTTCCAAATTTTTTTTTTTTGAAAAATAGAAAAATAAAAACAGTTTACCAACAAAACTCACGTTCAAAACACCCAAAAACCCTCGCCCCTTTTTCCCCTCGCCCAAAACAGCAAAACTCATCCCTCCGGGCAACAATCGACGCATCCCTTTCATAGCCTCAACCTCGATCATCCTTCTCGTTTCCGGCGACGCAGCCGCACCGTCCTTGACTCCGGCAACGACGGTCTCCATTCTCATATCGGCCCCTCCCTCTTCATCGCGGCCCTTTCCCGTCGTCCCACTGGTGAAAGGAGGCCCTCGATCTCAGTTAGGTTTCTCGTCTCCAGCAACGACGCCTTACCCTCTCTTTCTCGATCTCAGGTAGGTTAATCGTTTCCACTTCGATCAATTTCAGGGCTCGGTTTCTTAATTTCTTTTAGGGCTCAGGGTTTTTAATTTCTGTTGTAACAGTAGCTGTATTTATGAAAGCATATAGTCTATGGAAGTAGGGAATCCGTATCTGTATTTCTTTAAATCCATTTGATCTAGAATCAGCCTTGAACTTAGCTCTCTCTGTATTGCTTAAAACTTCTGATGTTGATTTAATATGAAATAAGGGCGAACCGGATCTTGTACTGATGAATTTCTTGAATCTACAATTGCCTTTGCAGTGAAAATGCTTTAAATGTTTTCAAGTGTTCTGTAAATTGTGAATCTCTCTCATACTTTTATGCAAACCATGCTTGCCCGAATTGAGCTTAGACCCAAAACACATTCCATGATTTACCATTTCTGTTGCAGGAATAGGAAGTAAAATGAAGTACGGATTAAACCTAAGAGTCCAGTCCTCCCAACAAAAGAAGCAACCTACCAGGCCTCCTCGCCCTCCAGCACCTGGTTTTGGTGAAGACGATGAAGATGACATAGAGAGAGAAATTTCTAGACAAGCCAGCAAGAACAAGGCTCTCAAAGATGTAAGTCATCAATGAAAACAAAAAAGTTACCATTTTGTCCTTTTCCTTTTATCTTATCTTGTTTCTTGTGTAGGTAGAGGAGCAACATAAGAAAGCCCTAGAGGAAGATCCATCAGTGTTCGATTATGATGGTGTATACGATGAAATGAAGGAGAAAGCAGTTCGCCCCATTGCACAAGATCGACAGGAGAGAAAGGTATTATTATATAAAATATTTATTTATTTTCACAAAATTCACATGTTTTTGAGTCTTTTTTATAGAATATAATCTTTTATTTTTGTTACACTTACAGCCAAGGTATATACAAACATTGATAGACAAAGCAAAAGTGCGTGAGAGAGAACATGAGATAATATATGAGAGAAAGCTTGCTAAAGAGAGGACCAAAGAAGATCATCTTTTTGCAGATAAGGACAAATTTGTCACTGGGGCCTACAAAAGGAAACTTGCAGAGCAAGCAAAATGGTTGGAGGAAGAACGTCTGCGTCAACTACGTGAGGAAAAAGAAGATGTAAGTTTTAGGTGCCGTTTGTTTTTTCTAAGGCAAAATGTTTGCAGTCTGCGGACCACATTTGTAGACCTCTGCAGTAGAAGAGGTGGACCAAACGTCTGCAGTCTGAAAAAAGAAGACTGTTTTTTTTTTTTTTTTAACATCTGCGGGCTACTAAAATAAACTGAAATCTAAATAAACTGATTTTTTTAAACTTCAAAGTGGTTTTTTAATATTTTTATAACTTTGTTATAAATAATTAACGAATATAAATCAACTTTTATCTATTATTGTATAAAAAATAAAAATAAAAATAAAAATGGTATGATTTAACGTATATATTTGATAAAAACCGACAACTTTGGTTGCAAAGTTATAACTAAACATTATAATTAGTGATAAAAGAATTTGATACATAAATAGATGGAAATAAACTTCGATTTTTTCAATTAAATCCATTAAAAACAAACCATAAATATTTTCTCGAAAAATCGACGATACTGTATTAAATAATGTTTTATAAAATTTGGCAAAAAAATATAAGAATATATTATGATTTTTTTTTTCATATTTATATAAACAACTTCAATGACTATTATTGTAATAAATCTTTATTTATAAATTTGTCAAAAATATCATGTTTGGTATCGTCGAACGTTTTTTTTTAATTTTTGTAATTTTTTTTTTCAAATTGTTTATCATTAATAAAGTTGGAAAAAATATAAATTAAAAAAAACTTAAAAAAAATAAAGATATATATGTTTTTTTAGGCTAGAAGATGTCTGAAGATGTTAGAAGACTCTGGTCCACATCTGCGCCAAGAAGAGGGCGCGCAGACATTTTTAGGTCTGCAGTCTTCAAAAAAACAAACAGTCTGCGAAGGCTAATGTCTGCGCGTGGTCTGCGAGGCGCAGACAGAAGAGGCCACGCAGATCTGCAGACAAAAAACAAACACTACATTACTTTTCTTTTGGATAATAAATAGCAACAAAGTTTAATTTGTTCATAAGTAATCAATTAACATTTTGTTGTTACAGATCACTAAAAAGGGTGGTGATATGAGTGAGTTCTACTTCAATTTATCAAAAAATGTTGCTTTTGGAGCTGAAGGTAGTGAAGCAAAGAAGCCTGAGAAGCAGAGGGTGGAATCAGCGAATCCGAAAGAAGAAAATCGGGGTGAAAGTGAAACATCTGTGGGGTCCAAGGAAAGATCTGAATCCGTTGAAGCAAAAAAACCTGTTGGTGATACACAAAATAAACAAGAAGTCTCTAATGATTCCCTGAAGGAAGAATCTGGAAAGGATGACATGGCAGGTCAACCTACAACAACGGATCATCATAAAAGAAACCAGGATGCTTTGGCTGCTGCAAAAGAGCGGTTTCTTGCACGAAAGAAGACCAAAGTAAATGTAGATTAAGTGACATGTATGTTTTACAAATGTGATTTTCTAAATGTTATAAAAATTTGAGATTTAGATTGTTCATCTTTATAAATCTTGTGCTTGGTTACATAATTCTAAATTGGTTGTTATTGTGGATAAAAATAATAAATGTTGCCTATTTCTCATAAGACCGTGTTTATCATCGACTGGTTACAACATGTTTTTCCATTAAAAAATATTCTCTTTAAGCCACATGTTCAACCAACCAAATTCATTTCATAATGTATACCCATTTTTTCACTAATACAAACCTAACTACCAGAATTGAAATCGCCTACAATCAAATGTACATCTCATATTCATTGTTGTATCCCACCATGTTTGAGTAATAGAAACCATGGTGCTATGAATGAATCCCTCCATTTCCGAGTAAGTTTTGTAGATACATACATGGATAGTAAACTAGTTAAGTCATTCATTCCTATCAACTATAACAAGGGCATTTACGTCTTTTGTACACACGAGAGCAAATCCTTCTTTTGTACCCTCAATTGATCGGGAAAAAGCCCACTTCATCCAAGTAGAAAAACAATGCTTTGACAAGTGTTCTGGTAAGTCAACCTGCAAAATATCACAAATCATCAAAATGAATGATACATTAATGAAACATAATTTGACACAAATCTTTAGATAAACTAACTTACACTATTCCATGAAGTAGAATAATCATCAGTAGATAGCAACCAATAACTAGCCTTAGATTGAAATTCCATCCTGTTATATGAAAACCCCAAATCCAAAAGATCATCATTATCATCATAATCATAGCTATCATCAAACAGAGACATTCTTCTTCTTTTCTTTCTGCTCTTTCCTTTCTTCCTACTTTTTGATCTAGAAGAAGTCCTTTTATCCGAATCAGAATCACTTTCATCCACTAAACAATTATTAGTATATAACAATTCGTGCTTCCCTGAGTGGCGAAAACTTATTCCATTGCTATTAAACAAAGATTCCCAAGCTTCAGGAGGCCAAAATCCCTCAGATAAGAAACAATGAAGAGCCCAAGATTGCAACCCTAATAACTTTATCCAATTTAAGCTTTTGGTCTTTGAGCATTCTTTAACTAGTGGGACAAAACCATCATGTGACAAACTGCAAATCTGTTGCACAACATTCTTAATTTTCATCGTTTCCTCTATGTGCTCGTTTTCTTGTAAAATCTGCATAAGTTGACGCCCTCGATTTATAACCGCATTCAATAAAAGTAGTTCACTAATTGAATCTGAACCACTGTATCTGAAAAGTATGGCATCCATATACTGACATGTGTCACCAGAATCTTTAGGTCTGAGGAGCTTTTGTAGCAAATCAAGAAAACTACAGAGTTCTTTTTCATCAAGAACAATAAGAAGGTGGGAGCATAAAGATGAGAAAGGCTCTTCTGCTAAAAAATCGTTAATCACTTCCCATATCTCCTTCATGTCTTGTTTGTACATTAAACTCACAAACATGTTTATGAAGAATTTCGTATCCATTAACAAAATGTCACCATTCTTTAACGTATCAGAAAACTCATGAGATGACCAGAATTCAGGAACATTTTCAAGAAAATTGTCTACTGTTTGTTCAACATCAAGATCAAGAAAGTAATGAGGTTTTGTTGCAACCATAGCAGGGGATTGACCATGTTTGCCTTTCCATTCCAGCTCTTCCCAACAAATGTCACGATTCAAAAAGGCAAATTGGGATAATGCCTTTGCACCATTTTTATGCTCCATATCACCACTTCCAGCAAAATTAGAGAACCAAAGAAGAATACGCCTTGGATTCCCTCTAAAGAAATCCTCCAGCATGTGGCTTTTCTTGGCTAAGATAGACCCTGCTTTTTTTGGATGTTTATCAAATATCATTTGCATAAGTTGAGCTGCTAGGTCTCTTTTCTGTGTACTGGTTTTCAGTAAGGTCACAAACAGTTCACGTTTTTGCCGGGAAGATAGAGAATTTACCCCTGAAAGATCTTTGCAAAGCCAAAGTCGTGCCTCTGATCGACTTTGAGATGCAATCAATAAGCGGACTATGGAGTCTAGGTCATTCAAGAGAGATAATCTGTGTTTAAAAGAATCATCACTTCCATCACAACTCCAGTCTGGTTCAGAAAGAAACAAATGAACCATTTTGTCACTTGTGGCGAAATTTCCTACCAAGCCACCTGTAGCAGATGAAAGAAACATAACTACATAAGCATAAGTAATAGAAGCAATCTTTCCTGAAGTAGCTCCTATAAATCCTAACCATTTCATCTAATTATAAGGTTAAATTGTGATCATTGAATAGTTACAAGTTTGATTAATCCGCTTCCGACCACACCAAAAATATACCTAGCATGATAATCTATGCATACAATTAACAACACAAAGACGAAAGCACATAAAATTAACAAAATAATAACGCACATAAACTGAGAGATATATATAGAGAGAGAAAACGTACCAGAAATCGAGGAGCGTGTCGTCGCCGGGGACGATGAATAGTGAACGGTGAACGAGGATTCAGCTTTGAGCCCTAATTCCGATTTCGAGTTTTGGACTTCGGTTATGATGAAATTTGATTTAAGACCTTTAAGTTTGTATTATCGTCAAATATCACCCTCTTGCAGTCTTGCACCATTCAAATGCCTTTACTTGTGAGGTGGAAAAAAAAAGTTAACTTATGTAAATATGAGTAAATGAGTAAATGACTAACGAGAGTAAGCCTATAAATCAATTTTCAAAAAAGGGGAAAAATAGTCACGATTTTTACAGACTATCATCTGTGAAAATCTAGATGTCTTGTAATTTTTTTTATTTAAATTACAAAAACTTCGTTGACGATATAACATGGGTTACGAGAATCATAAGCGGGCTGCAAAACTTTTATGGCCTACGGCCCGTTCGTTTTCAACCATATATAAATGTTTTTTTTATTCATTCTTCATTTTTACACAACATTTTAGCAAATATGCTACAAATTCTCGCTGAAAAAGATGTTTGGAAACAACAACGATCTACATGAATCAGTAAGTTATTCAGCCTTATCTAAATTTATTTATGTTTGTAACCGGAAATTAGAAATCGTTGCTATGTGTATGAGATTTTCGCATGTGGAAATGGATTTAAACAGGTCAATACTTGCGAAAATGAATATTTTTACACGTCATGCCCTGCGAAAATCTAGGTTTTAGAAGATTATAACTTGTGAAAATCTATGTTTTAGTAGGACCTCACCTACAAAATCTAAGGATTATTTTTGATAATTACAAAAATCTAAGAGTTATTTCCAATAATTTCGTTAATCTACGTTTTAGCAGGATCTGATCTACAAAACATCTCGTAAATTACATCAGTTTTGGACTCAACAATTAATAAAATTTTCAAACAATCATCAATATTTTCATAATTTAAAATTATTGATAAGATTCTTATAATTTTTCAAACCTTATGCCAGAATGTATAAAACAATGCTAAATTATCACAACTTTTCTAAAGAAATTTTACTCGAAACAAATTTGTTAAAAATAACAAAAATTTAATGCTTTAATGCAAGTCTTTTATAAAAAATTTACTCAATATATACAAAGAATAATAAAAATTCAAAGCATGATTGATTATCATATAAACTCAATAAACATATAACCAAAATCTGGAATAAATCTTGAGACCGAAAATTGATTATCAAATAAACTCAATAAAACAGATAACTGAGATCTCAAATAAATACTAAGACTGAAAATTGAAACATTGCGTAAAAGCGATAATCAATAACTCGAACTGAAAACTACAGGCCTCCCTATAGTAAATTCCTCCGTTTCCGGGTTAACCTAGATAAAACTCCCAAGATGGAAGGAATATATCCAACTCGTGAATGTATCTTAATAACTCCTAAAACAAGGAAGAAACAAATTCTACATATTTTGGTATATTATACATCTATTTTGTAACAAAAGTATCATTACCCTTATAGTCTTTGATCTCCCTCATTTATGAGGTATCTTGTCTAAGACATTTATCATATTGAAAATGCATCCACTTGAACTCAATATTTAATCAAGGCATAATTTGTCCAAAACTTCAACAACGATTAATTAGCATCCTATGTGCTTTAAGACAAAAATTCATAGCAACGCACTAAATTATAGCTCAAGGCTATAACACAAAGTATGTATTTAAATCTTGTCATGTATCCTATATAAAAATATGCACATAAACTTACCTGATACAATGAATATATCCTTCACCTTCTGCATAGTTTTCCAATATGATTCCTATTGTGTTTAATCGAAAATCCCTTAATTTTCTCTCTTGCTTATATGTATAGATATTTTAGTAATTTGTTTCCTTATAACATGCTCTATATATAACTACATCAAATTCATGGTATCATAAAAAAAGACCGTACAAACAATTAAATATTTTATATTTCGACACGTTTATGCCACTAACCTTTTTTTTTAATTCTAATTCTTATCCACGGTTAATGCATTCATTCATTCCAAACCTTAGGCATTTTAATATTATTGATATATTATCTCGTACTCTTGACATCAAATAAAAGCGTACGTCGTACGTTTTATTTTCTTCTTCAACTAAGTTTCTCAATTCTTATCATCCATGCATAATGCATGCCTACCTACACAATCTTATTTTGTAGCCTTCACTTTGGTCAAGATACACGAGATTCTATTTTAATTTATTTTATCATTTTTATGGTCCATTTACTCATTGAATTACTTATTTATACGTAAAGACAGAGAGTGTTGGTGATTCTAGTGTCACCAACATTTTTGATAATTGGAACTAACATGTGAGCCAATGATCTTATTATTTGTACTTTATATTATATGTTTGGTGAATGCGGAGTGCATGTATATATAAGATCGAATTATAAGTTGGTACGGCAGAATCACAGGAGTCAAGGGGGCTGTGCCCCCTTGCAGGGTCCTGGGGGCAGCTCCTCTACCGGGGTCCAAGGGGCAGAGCACCTGACGGTGGTCTCGTTGACCGGTCAGCGGGAGGGGTCGTGGGGAAACTTGTGGTAAGATTTGAATTAGTTTTATTATGGAAAAATCGAATTCTAATGAGTGATTATGGTAAGATTGATAAATCTTGTCAATTTTGGAAACCATTGATTAAGCCATTAAATTTGTGATTTTCCTAACTAATTTAGAAGATAGAAACTCTAATCTATCATGCATATATTTACGACTCCTCTTTTAAGTCGTCAACATAACCCTTCTCAACCTTTTTTCTTTAAAAACAAACTCAGAATTCGTCTGACAATGTGGCTTGTGTTTATGTGTCTAGATACACAAGTGTCATTTTGGATTATCCTAGAGTGGATTTCCTATAACCCAAACATATGGTGAAAATATTAGTTCGGAAAGTGACCTTACACGATCCATAAGGAATCCGGTTCTCCACCATCACCCTACACATATTCCTCCCCAACAAAGAGTACATAAGTAGTTCGTATGTATTGATTGTTGATTTACAACTGAGTACATGAAGGAATTTATAGAATGAAATACAACTACTTCCTAATTACAAGCTGTAGACTAGGTACTAATATTGACCAAGACTTCTTCTACTCACACGTGTTGAAACACGTGTGCTTATGTTGTTATTACCCCCGACAAGCTCAAAGGAAGGACGAACTTGAAGCTTGTGTTTTAAATTTAACCAATCGATCCTTGTGCAATGGTTTTGTAAAGATGTCTGCTAACTAATCTACGGAAGAGATAGGACTGACTGTAAGACCCTTAGCTTCAATTTGTTATCTGATGAAGTGAAAGTCTAATGCAATATGTTTGACCTTTTGCGAATCACAAGATTTTTTGTTATGAAAATGGCACCGATATTATCACACAACAATAGTGAAGGACGCATGATCAGAGTGTGTAAGTCAGCCAACATTTGTTTTACTCAAATTAACTCCGCAGCTGCATACGCCAATGAACAATATTCCACTTTGATGATGGATTGAGCCACTACCATCTATTTTCGGGAGGTCCAACTGACGAGATTTGGACCATAGAAGATCGCAAAACCATATTGAGATCGATTTTCGTCTTTTTCAGAGATCTAACAACCAACCAAGAAAGCAAGAAGAGATGTGTTGGATGTAGGTTTGAAGTGTAAACAATGATGAAGAGTTCCCTTGATATACCTTAAGATTCGTTTGACAGTCTGCCAATGAAGAACAGTCGGAGAGTGCATGTATTGACAAACCTGATTCACTGCAAATGCAATGTCTGGTCTGGTAATGGTCGCATATTGTTGTGAGCAAACAACTTAACAATAGAGGGTTGGATCGGAAAAAAGGCCACCATCAAGAATAAGCTGAGAATGACTGTCAGTTAGTGTAGATATCAGAGTTGCATCAACCATATTAGTAGGAGTAAGAATGTCATTGATGTAACCTGCTTGACTGAGAGTGATTCCGTTGGGTGTTGTTTGATTTGAATGCCAAGGAATAAATGTAATGGGCCCAAGTATTTAAGAGAAAAAACATCATTGAGGCGAGTAATGAACTTCTAAATAAGGGTGTCATGTGTACCTGTCATTATTAAATCATCAGCATAAACCAAAATGTAAATAGTGGTTGATGAGGATTGATGAACAAACAAGGATGTGTCAGATTGACATGCCCGAAATCCTTGTTGGATGAGATAGGTTTTATGTTTAGTAAACCAAGCTCTTGGAGCTTGCTTAAGACCGTAGATGGCTTTGTGAAGACGACAAACATGTATGGATTTGGTTGGATCTTCAAACCCACGTGGCTGTTTCATGTAGATAGCTTCTTGTTAGTCACCATTTAAAAAAAGCATTGTTGTTCTCGAGTTAGTGCACACACCAACCTTTGGAAATAGCAAGAGATAGAAACAATCAGATTGTGGTAGGTTTTACAATTGGATTGAAAGTTTCGAAGTAATCAATGCCCTCCTCTTGAGTGTACTCTTGAGCCAGTAGTCGTGCCTTGTGTCTTTCAATACAACCATTTGATTTTGCATTTGATCTTGAAAATCCATTTGCAACCTACAAGATTAACATTGGGATGACAAAAGATAAGCAACCATGTGTTATTCCTCATAAGGGCATCATATTCATTTTCTATTTCATCTTGCCAACATGGATACTGAATGAATTGTTTCAAAGTGTGTGGTTCAATCAAGTATGGGGAGGAAATAGTGGAAGAAAGAGCTTTTAGTTTTAGGGAGTTTGTTGTAAGGTTACACCTTATGATTTGATGAGTCAAACACTCTACACTATCTGTCTGCGTCAACGTGTACTCTACAACCAGCACCATCGTATTAAGCTTATCAGCGTCAGTGCATAGCGTAGCTATTCTATGTAATCTTTTTTATATTAGATAAGTATAGAATAGATCACATATCTGGTATCTTTGTGATAAGATCAGTTCTTAGTATAGATTAGATGCAATCCCTTTAATTATGGGATTGATATGTATAGATTAGTATATATACTACATTAGGGTAAACCCTAATGTGGTGAACACGGCTTGGTGGCGTAATCGTCTTTGTGACAACACATCTTCTTGGTGAAGACAAAACCCTTTCTTGGTGAAAGAACAATATGGATAACTCTTTGTGTCATTTAATTTTCGTTCTTTATTTTCTTAGATTAAGTTTTACTTTCGTATTTATACTTGAATTGTATCCGATCAATACAAACCTTCAATTGGTATCAGAGCAGGTCTGTGATACACTCAAGTAATCATGTCGAATCTCAAATCATTTGGCCTCAACAAAATTCCTCCCTTTGATGAACACAATTTCACTATGTGGAAGACAAAGGCCATGGTTCTTGAAACCATTGATTATGAGATGCAAAATATTGTTGAAAAGGGCCCCCATATTCCTATGTACCAACCCATGGTAAAAAATGCTCCCATTGGCCCCCTAAAGCAAAAGCGAGAAACGAGTTATGATGAAGATGACCAAATACTACTTAGTATTGATGTGAAAGCCAGGACTGCTACTAGAAATTCTCTTACCTACCATGTGTATCATCTCGTTCAAAATTGTGAGTCAGCACAAGAGATGATGGATACGCCGATAGTTGCTTATGAAGGCACCGTGGAAGTCCAGGCCACAGCCATCAACAACCTTAATCGGAGATACGAGCGTTTCTTTGCTCAACAAGGCGAGTCACTTACCCAAACCTTCAATAGGTTTAACTTCTTGGTTAATGATATGTGTAGGCTGGGAATCGTCAAGCATTCATCTCAGTTGGGTCTGAAATTTCTTGATTCTCTTGGGAAAAGTTGGGAACATCACGTTGATGTTCTCAAGAATGGTGAAAAGATCGATACCATGGATTTGAATTCTTTGTTCAGTAATCGGCAAAATTATGAAGAGACCAAAGCTCTTCGTAAAGACTCAAACAAGAAAAAGTCTGTTGTACTGGTGTCTCGAAAGGAAGCAATAAAACACATCAGCGACTCAGATAACTCAGATCAGTGTGAAGAGAGTGATGAAGATCTCACCGATGAGCTTATTGCCAGCACTGCACTTATCGTCAAGCACTATGAAGAAAGCATAGAAAACGGGGTTAGAAGAGCTCAGTTCAAGGGAAGCAGTTCAACAAGGAGATCCACTTCCGAGAAGAGAAACTCATGTAATTGCTTTAATTATGGTAGCTCTGACCATTTTTTCAGGGATTACAAGGAGAATAAAGAAGCCCAGAGCCCTGAGAACTATGAAGTCTTATAAAAGAAGTTGGTGGCTCACATAAAGAAGGAAAACATCTCTCTTCCGAAAGCCTTCATTGCAAAACAAGAGGATCATGAAGAATGGATAGAAGAAGAGGAGACTTCTGAAGATAGGGGTTGAATGTCAAGGGTCTTATGGTTTTTATAAATGATTCCCCTGATGGCATATGTGACGTTGATAGTTCTCATGTTGTCAAAGGATCAAGTCCAAATCTAAGACAAACTTGGTACCTAGACAGTGGAAGTTCTAAACACTTGACCGGTTACAAGTCCCTCTTAACAGATTTTGAAGAGAAGGATGATCCAATGGTAACCTTTGGTGACAATAGTGGAAGAGCTGTTACAGGTGTTGGAACTTTTGAATGCAGGACGATTAAGCTGGAGGATGTGTTTTATATCGAGGGTCTGAAAGGCAACTTCATCTCCATCAGTCAACTTTGTGACGCTGGTTACAAAGTTCTTTTCAACCGTCATCAGGGAAAAATGTTTGATTCTGAAAACAAATTCGTGCTTTCT